AACTTAACATTTATACAGTCCAGAGAAGACATTTGGGTCTGCACGTTCTGAAAATTGAATTGAAATACCTCAACCTTCTGATTTTTACAAACTTGCAAAAAAATGTGCAGAAAATGGGCGTTCTCGTCCAAAGGTGCGTTTTCTTGAAAAATTCATAACTTCGAACCGAAAGCAAATGGCAAGTTGAAATTTTTACAGTCCCGAGAAGACATTTGCGYCTSCACGTTCTGAAAATTTCATTAAAAYCTCCCAWCTKTCTGATTTTTACRAACTTGCAAAAAATTGTGCAGAAAATGCGCGCTCTTTCAAAGGCSCGTTCTCTTTAAAAATTCATAACTTCGAACCGAAAACAAGTGGCATGYGGAAATTTTTACAGTCCAGAGAAGACATTTGAGTCTGCACGTTCTGAAAATTTCATTGTAATCACCCGACTCTCTGATTTTTACGAGCTTGCAAAATATTTTGCAGAAAATGGGCGTTCTAATCCAAAGGCGCGTTCCCTTGAAAAATTCATAACTTCGAACCGAAAGCAAGTGGTAACTTGAATTTCATACAGTCTCGAGAAGATATTTGAGTCTGAAGATTCTGAAAATTTCATTAAAATTCCCCCACATTCTGATTTTTACGGACTTGAAATRTTTRTGTAGAAAATGAGCRACCTCGTCCAAAGGMGCGTTCTCTTGMAAAATTCATAACKTYGAACCKAAARCAAGTGGCWACTTGAAAWTTAYACAGTYCARAGAAGATATTTGAGTCTGCACGTTCTGAAAATTTCATTGAARTCYCYMAACMTTCTGATTTTTACGAACTTGSAAAWRTTTGTKYAGAAAATGAGCRACCTCGTCCAAAKRCGCGTTCTCTTGAAAMATTCATAACTTTGAACCAAAAGCAAGTCGCAACTTGAAATTTATCCAKTCCAGARAAGACATTTGGGTCTGCACGTGCTAAAAATKTMATTGAAATCYCCCGACTCTCTGATGTTTACAAACTTGCAAAATATTGTGCAGAAAATCAGCGTTTTCGCCCAAATGCGCGTTCTCTTTAAAATTTCCTAACTTCGAACCGAAAGCAAGTGGCAAGTTGAAATTTTTACAGTCCAGAGACGACATTTGAGTCTGCACGCTCTAAAAATTTCATTGAAATCCCCCAACCATCTGATTTTTACGAACTTGCAAAAAATTGTGCAGAAAATGGGCGTTCTCGTCCAAAGGCACGTTCTCTTAAAAAATTCATAACTTCGAACCGAAAGCAAGTGGCAACTTTAAGGCAAAGAGTTTGACTCCCCTGCTCACCCTGTATATTTTTTGAGAATACCGTTTTAAATCGAGTTCTGCAGTTAAAATAATGCATTTAAAAAGTGGTCCGAAAAACAGATTAAAAACCGTCCTAAAGTGCAACACCCTCCCCTAAATCCGACACCCGCATGAGCCGAAAAAATTTGAACGTGAAAAAACGTGCGGGATTCTCCAAAAAGTTACCACTTTCTGGCCATATCCGGTTTTCATTGAGCATAAATGCCATCGCGCGCATGATCGAAGTTGTTTTTCTTTCCCTCTTTATATTCGCGCCTACATAGACTTTCTCAATAAAATAAATTTTCAGACGAGAACTTCATTATGTTTGTACTGTACAAATCGGCATATACCGATATATAATATATATATATAATTTGCAATTTAATTGTATTCTTCATTTTCTTTTACCGGTTTTTTGCTGGGCGATATTTACACACTTTTGGTGTATCAATATTTAATGAAACACTAAACAGCATTTTCAGTATTACGACTTTATTGGCATGTTTATGTACATAGATGTAGAAACGTATTGTGATGTCACTACAAAAGTTAATAAGGCCTCTATGGCTTGGACATTCATTCAAATCTGCCACGACAAAAACAGCGAGTTTACAACAATTTAAACAAAAAAAAAACAGTGGAAATGTCTACACATCGTAGTCAAGTGGTGGCACAATTAATAGTTTAATAAATAATCCACACAACGTTTCCGATCAGTTGAGACACAAGTTGTTCTTCGTTGCGCAAACCTTGCGATTACAACACGGTCTTCTTCGATCTGCATCAACCAACCCGCGTGCAGAAGAGATCTGAGTTATTGCAAATCGTTCCTGGTTCCAAAACAAAACAAAATATACAACAATAGGTAAAACATTTATATTCTCTTTTCTTAAAAAAAAACTTACAACGTAATTAGGTATTGTTTAAATAAAAACAGACAAAATTGAAAAATGACCAAAAAATAAGCTAGTGTATATAAATATATGTACAGTGCGGGAAAGGTTATTTTAATGGCACCATCCGATTCCATTTTGTCGATCGTCAGACTCGCATTGCGACTGAATGTTGATTGATGTTGAATCCGAAATCTCAATTCATTTCATATTGAGGAAACAATGAAACTTTATAGATCTCTAATCAAAATACGTTTCGGTGTATTTTTCCACCATCATCAGTTTTTATGTGCAGCGTTATGAATTTTTAAAGAGAACGCGC